GAAAAGAAAAGAAAAGAAAAGAAAAGAAAAGAAAAGAAAAGAAATCCCACTATATGGGGAAAAGAAAAAGAAAATCCTCTACTAGGCTACCTAGATTAAAAAAAAAAAAAGAATTTAGGTTTGAGTTTACACTTCCATGAGATCATAGGCTAATTTTAGTGTGAGGGTTTGGTTTCATGCACATTTTTATTCTTAGTGGAAATCTTAGAATTAGCTGATGGTGGAGGTTCCCAAACCTTTTTGGTTCACAGCATCCTTAGTGTCTCAGTATTTTTCTCCGGCACCTCCTAAGCCAAAAGACTGCCAAAACCTACCTTTGCAAATGGATGGTGCAAATACTTTTAAAACCTTATAGTACCCCTTGGGTTTGCTGTGGCATCCTGGGACACCGTGGCACACAGTTGGAGAACCACAGAGCTACAGCATTATTTTGTTTATGTGTTATGCTTAAAAAATTCCTGTGAGGGTTAAATTGAACCTAGAGTTAGGGTTAGGCTTTCCTGGTATCTCAGGTTAATTTTAGTGTGAGGTTATAGAGTACTAGTGCTAGTCTCAGAATTATCCCAAGGCACCATTTTTTCTTAGGGGTAAATCTTAGCATCTCAAATTCTTATTAGCATTAAAGTAAACTTAGGGCTAGGATGAGGCTACCTGAGATTGCTTGCTAATAACACTTGGATGAATGGTGTTGGAGTGAGGTTTTATGCTTAGTGCCACTCTAAGAATTCTCTAAGGCTCAATTTTAGTTTTTATGTATAAAGTAACCCCTAGGCTTAAAAATGCATATTGGCATAAGGTTTACTTAGAGTTAGGCATCCCTAGGTTAACTTTAGAGTGAGGTTATGGTTCACAGTGTAGTTTCAAGTTTAGTACTAATCTGAGAAAGAGGGTTAAAAATTAAAACTAGCATTAGGTTGAACTTTGGGTTGGAGATCTTAGAGTTTGATTTACTGTGAGCTATTATGCTTATCACAAGTCTTACAATTAGTCTATGGCATAATTTTTGGTTATATGTAAGTCTTAGGTTTAAATCTTCCTATGAGAATTAGCCTGATTTATCAGATTAATTTTAGTGTGAAGGTATGGGTTACCATAAAGCAGTGTTTCTCAACCTTTTCAACTTTAACAGATGTGGACTTCAACAGATGTGCAAGCAGGCTGGGGAATTCTGGGAGTTGAAGTCTACACCTCTTAAAGTTATCAAGGTTGAGAAGCACTGGTCTAAAGTTTTATGCTTAGTGGTAGTCTTTGAATTGTACTTCTACATATTTTTGGTTTATGTATAAGACATAGGGCTAAAATTGGCATTTGCATTAGTTTGAATTTGGGATTGGTGATGGCACCCAAAAAACTGGCGGAGCTGTGATTGCATTATCATGGCTGCCATCTTGACGTTTTTTATCACACCCCTGCTGCGACATGAGACTTTTGCAAAGGATGCTGTGGCTTTCAGGGTCTTTATCAAGGGAGCGAAGAACATTGGTCTGTTTCAGTGCGTACAGGTGGTCCTTATTTAATGACCACTCATTCAGCAACCTTTCAAACTTATGATGGCACTGGACAAGTGGTAATTATGACCAGACCTCATACTTACAGCCATTGTAGCATCCCTGCAGTCACATGATCATGATTTGTGACCTTCCCTGCCAGCTTCCCACAAGCAAAGTCAATGGGGAAGCCAGCAGGAAATCAAAAGTCACAGTCACATGAGGTCCTTGCTTAACAACCCACATGGTCCTTGCTTAACAACTGCAACTGGGATTGCCAGAACTGCTGTCACTAAGCAGTGCAGTTATGTGGGTTTTTGACCTACAACTGCATTGCTTAATGATAGAGTTTCCAGTCCCATTTAGCATCCTTAAATGAGGACTACCTGTATTGTGCTTGTGAAATGTACTGCTTGCTCCTTCAAGGAGCCTCTTCTGACTGTAGGGTGTGAAATAGATGGCCATTGGCCTCTTAGAGAGAGGGATTCATTTCCACCGAGTTCATCCACCACCATTCCTAATGCAAATGGCCTCTTTATAACTAGCAATTTACATTTTATTTATTGGATCCATGGAGAAAGGAGGGTATCAGCCTTCCCAGGTAGATGAGATGGGGAACATGACCAAATGAGCTAATTCTACTTTATTGTATGGCTACATCAACAGAACCTTGCAAGTCTGAAAGTACAAATCCCCTACCATCTCCTTTACAGCCTGAGAAGCTAGGGAAGGTCCCTTCTGAGCCTCTTTCTCCATCCATTATGCAGCTGTGGGCTACGGCCTCTCTTATCTGACCGTTCCCAAGGTAGCATCTCTTCACCCTGTCTCTCAAGGTCTTTCTCACATAACATTGCAGAGAGAAACTGTCTCTGCTGATTGGAGAGTTGGTGGCAGGAGGGTCCTGACTTTGGATGATCTTGTGATGAGCCAGCTTCTTGAAGCCGGGGCCAGCTACTCTATTAAAACAAGAGGCACAATTGTTTTACGCATCTGACATCTCTCAGTATGTTTATGAACTTTTATGTTTTTAAGTATGTTCTAATGATATTTGGAGATGGTGCCGTCTCCTTGGTTCTTCTCACTTAAGGCTGCTGGTGGGACAGTAGTTGAGCTGTTTCAATGAGACTGTTTTCTTCCCAGACTGAGTGGATGGAGCAAATATTAAAAGATAATCTGATGATCAGGAATATGCTTGGTTTGATTATCTAGTAATAATAAATAGTGACAGGATCTCATGAATATGGCATACCAGGAAACATTCTACCCAGCATGTGTGTGCGTGTGCGTGCAAACTTAATTTCAATTCAAAACAGTTTTGGGTCTGCAGAGTTTCTGCAATACTGCTTTAGCACTAATATGGAAATTATGACTAAATGATATGTGTGAACCCAGCCTTTTGGGAAAAAATGTAATTTTTTTTCATCCTTGGTTTCTACTTCATTCCTTGCCTCGCTAAATCAAGACCCAGAAAAAAGCCTGCTGCTGTCTTTGTAGTAACTTCACATTTACATTACTTCTCCCCTTGCTTCAGAGAAAACAAATTCATAACCTTTCAGAACTGTGATGGAGCATATTCAGTTATTTTTCTAGCACCAGGCAAATCGTTGTTTTATTCTCCTGAGCTTTTAATTGCTTCGCTTGTCATAAACTAGTCTCTGCTACTTTAACCTCTGCAATTTTTAAGTGATTGTGGTTTTAGGTTTTTGCATCCATTTTAGAGGTACACCTACTGTACTTTGACTGGAGAGCTGTAGCAAAATTTTAGAAATAAAATTTCTAAATACCTGTGTAATAATTTCTCCCAAAAACATAGAATCAGATAATGCGGTTTCTAACCTCTTGCGTGAAACAGCACTTCTTGTAATGAAACTGCTAAGGTCCTATCTTACTCATAGATAAATAATTAAGAAAAATATTTAGAGTGACTCTTTTATTGAAACACAGAATGTTTCATAAAGTGGTTCTGTTTAAGCCTCAACAAGGAGAAAAATAGATTTTTTTCTTGTTATAAAAGAGCTGCACTAAAATAAAAACTCATGTGTCAGAATACACAAATTTTTTCCAGATGAAGAAAGACTTAATCTATCCAACATGACAAAAACTAATTTAGGTTGATGCTCTAGTTTAGACTGATGCATGTTAGAGTTTTCCCTGACTTATTTTATTTGGAATATTTTCCATACACCCATGTCCTGTATTCAAGTTCATTTGGGTTACGATCTGTCCTCTATTTGAGATTTATATTTTTTAAATCATGGGAGTAATGCATTTTTATTTTAGCTCTCTTGGCTTTGACAAAAACTACGTGGTCTAGTGGTTCATTACACTACGTCATAATATGGTTTGTTAATTTCTGTGTACAGTAAGGATAATGTGAATGTACACATTGTTGCTTAACATGTGTGAATCAGATTATTATGATTTGTTCAAGAAACCATGGTTAAAAATTCTAGTTCATTGTGTGAATACAAGTCTGTGTTGAGTGATTTTGGAATGTATTGTATCCTATGTTATCTGTTATGGATCCAAAGAAGAATTACATAACTTTGTAAACTTTTTTTATTACCAAATCTAAGTAGTGTGATCAAATCTGCTCTGCGGGATCTTTTGAGAGAGATATTGAGCAAGCTAAACAGCAGATTCACACCAAATACGATAGAACACTACTACATTGTTACAGGACACACACACACATACATAAGCATTCACGTGCTAGGCTGTACAAAACACAGCATGAGCAAAAATTTGGTTTTAATTGGTAACCAATCCCAGAAGTGGCTGCGCCTAATCATGATGATGCCAAAATGACTAAATGTGCATCATCACAGTGTGAGCTCCGCCCTTTTCTATTTGCATTGTGACATGACATGCAAGTATGTAAGGAGTTGAGTTTGAGTTGGACATTTGTTGCATGCCTCTCTTTGCCTGTGTGTGGAAGCTCATGATCAGCCCCCATATATTCATTTGGCCCTACTGGCATCACCACACCTCACCCAAAGGGAAGGTGAGGCAAGACAGAGGATGGCTGCAGATGGAGTTGACTTCTCTTATGAGCTTGTCAGTTCCCAAAATAGCTACTGTTAAGGAAGGAAGGAGGTGGGCATTTCTGCTATGTCAAGTTGTGCTTCACGTGAAAAGCATGTGAAATCAGCTGTCTGGATGAGCCCTAAGATGGCTGCCTGTGGCCCAATACCATCCTTAGCTATAGTATCTGTAAGATGCCTACTTCTGGGTTTAGCAGAACAATTAGGTCTTGCTGATACTCCCTTACAAGTCAAAATAGAAGTGGGCTGAGAACACCCCCAAGTGTGCAGGCTGCCTCTTGGAAAGAGTCAGAAAATTAAAGGGCTCTTCATCTTTCCTGGGCAAAATCTTAGCTATTGGAGATTAATACTGTAAACTCAAAGTACATAGATTTCTACAAATATTTCTGGGGTTTCTCAAATGGGTTCAGCCTGTCCATTGCTGGGCCAAACTAACTATGACTCATGTTTGTCCTTAAGAGGTCAAAAGCATGTCACATGGTAATGCACAAACAATGCTCCCATTACTTTTAACAAGAACATGAATTAACTGCTTTTTGGGGGAGAAATTTAAAGGAAAGAAGGGGCCCAAGAGTATGATTAATCTTTCCCCTTGATGTTTTTCCACTCCCCAATAATTCCTTAACCAGCAGAATTCAGAATGTGTGCTTGTCTTCCCAAGCAAGCATTTCAAAGACATAAGGAGGCAAACTGTGTAGTTTTTCTGCTGTTTTGCATCTCAAAATTTTCCTTTCTCAAAGTGACTTGGCTTTTTGAAAAAAAATGTAGTTTGGTCATTATTGCTTATCTAAAGAATTAGCAAATATGTTAGCTCCTAAAGACCACGAAGGGCCTGACAGTTTGGTGTTTCACTAATGCATTGCCAGGAAAAGAGGTGGTCACACTGTTTGCAACGAGGGTCAGCCCTGCAGGAGACAATAGCCATCCCAAGAGAAACAGGCTCTTTGTCAGTCACAATCTCTAGGAAAAATAGGGAGAATTTGTCATCTGGACATTCTCGTCCAGTGGTCTTTAATGTTTCTGCCACCAGTACAATTACCGTTACATAATCAGTTATTGCGAAGTTTGAGGATGCATAGAGAATGCAGCTTCACAGCACATATATACCACATGCACACAAGTGGATGTACTCTGTAATGTAGGATTCATTTTCCCCCTCTCTCCTATTCCTCACTGAAAATCACTAACATTGAACACAATCCTCACTGTGTATAAGCTAGGAGTAAACAAAATATAAACATATCTCTGTTTCCCATATGGGACTTTAAGTATAACACAAAGGCTAAAGGGTGCTGAGAAGTAAATAATTTGGAGCAATTGCTCTAACATGTATCTTGTACATGTTTCCTCTGAAATATCTCTACTGAGCTTAATAAGAACTTCTTCTACATAAACATGTATGCAGAATTACAGACCATCTTGTGGTGTAGTAGAGAAACACCACAAGTAAGGCCACCCCCCACCGCCCCCCACTGCCAT